CTACACCTTTTTAAAGGACCTATATGTCAGAACTGCTTCCGAGAGACTCACATTTTTTTTATAGACATACCTTCGTAATTATTTTCGTGATTCATTCAATGAATGTCTAACCTTTCGATGTCTCTTCAGGTTAGAAACGTAAGCATCTAATAATAAAAGTCGACATAATTTGTAAAAATTTCGCACGTTTTGGTTAAACAGTAGACACTATTTAAAATGGCTTGGATCGGATCATAAAAAGTCTGGTTTTGTAAAAGTCATTGCACGAAAATAGCACATTTTTTCAATATTTCTTGAATCCGATCGGGGAAGAGTATTCAAACATGGCAAATAAATGTGGATAGTTGGGATCGTATCCGGTCACTCTTTGGCCACTTCATTACACAACAATTTTTCAAAAAAAATTTGCGTTTAGCTAGCATCCGATCCACGCCTCATAGACGGATTCTTATTAATCTTTAGTTTTTTATAATGCAAGTTGAAATAACAATGATTTGACATACAAAGTTACCGTGGTAAGTCTGGATTACAAAACTCTATCTTTTAGGCTCTTCCCCACGCACGGGCCATGTGAAAAAAACATATCATTATCGAAATTTTGCAAAGAAAATAGGTCAAGCGATATAGAGTACTGAGTAGCCGGCCTTGCCCAAATATAAAGTTTGAACTCGTTTTATTAAATTCTGTAAGAAAAAACTTTTCAATAAAGGCAAACGATGACTTGATTATCGTAACTGGGAGCGGCTCGTTGACTTTTAAAATTTAATGTCACAAGACCAATACGAAAAGATTTGAGATCAACTTTTGACAATTCTTCGAACAGAAATTTCAGGATGTAGGCGCGATTTCGACGGAAGATCAAACAAGTGTTATTGCGCAAATACTGTTAAATATTTCTTATATGCCAACCATGGCAATGGCCATCTTCCGATAACAAGCACCGTTAATTAGTTGCGCTTTATAATAATTAGATTAAGATACCATGGGAAGAGAAAAGCTGTGAAAGTGGCGACATTCTGTAGTTCTTTAGAAAGAAATTCATTAGATCTCATCCCATGGGGGAATATATGTCACCGCAAAACATGTTCTTCCCGCCACCATGAGACCCTTTTCAAGTGTAACTTAGCTAAGACGAGGGCATAAATTAAAATCAAAAGAAGGGTGTGGAAAGTTGGTTGAAGCTGCGTTGTTGATACCAACCCGCTAGCTCGTCTTCGGAAGGCAAAACCGAAATATGATGGAAATCATATGTAAAGGGAAAGCAGCTTCGTTCAAAAAAATGCAAAAATATAATTTAACCAACGATTGTGTAATCAACGCTATGAATGAACCGACATAAGGTAAGCAAGTGTTGACCATATTGAATTTATTGATAAGAACATAAAGGGCGGAAAGTGTTATAGCTTGGTTTTGGCAAACAATGAGTCTCGGTTTAAACGGTTGCATTTAAACTATTGAATAGAAGACAAAACTTTTTATTGTACCATTTTTTTACACATTTTCTCCTTTATACACATATACATATATTGAAAAATATCCTATACTAAAAACAAAAAAAAACGAAAAAAAACAGGAAATGGTTTTAAATAAATGCAAATTTTTTTTTTTTCATTTACAATTTTATGGCTTGTATCAGTTTCAGTTATTGTTATTTACTTAGAAGTAATGAAGCTAACTTTATATTCAATATTTTTAGGTTATGTTGCGTTTTGTGTGTTTTTATTCAGGTGGTTTTGAAAGAATGGCTAAAATATTATTTCAAGTAAAAATTTCTCTTAAATTCAGATAATTTCATTAAAAAGGCCTACCGTTAATTTAGAAAACAAAAAAAAAAAAAATTGTACTAATACTTATTAAAAGATCGATCGGTTTTAGCTAAACAAAACTTTATCTTAATTTTGTCCTTTAGGGTTGGAAACGCCGAAAACTTAATTTTGTTATTGGTAATCGGTTATGCTTTCAAGCTCATAACGTTACGTTGCGAAGCTCGAAGCATTGTTCCATTTCAAATAAAAAACCCTCTTACTCGTCTTTGTTATTTCGAAGTCTAGTAGTGGTCACCTTCGTCAATTTCTGACTGAGTCGGTTTCAATACGACTCACTTACACTCTTCATCCAAAAGCGACATCAAGTCGCTACTCGCTCTTCGACAATTTCTCTTGGATTTTCGGTGCAGTTTTACGTACCCAGCCGAAGGGATTGGAATAATTTTGTTGAACATTTTTCTTTTTTCGAGGAATTCTCTCTATTTCAATGCATTGTGCAAATGAGTCCGTATCTAAAAATCTCCTCGTTTTTGTTTGTCAAATTTCATCGCCTTGCCATTTGTACATTATGAGCGTAAAAGAGAGAAAAATTTTAAGTGATACACTTTATCTAAAACCTCCATATATACATCGCTGTTAGCGAACTCCTATCATTGGTGACTACTGCTATACGTCCAGATACCTCGGCAACATCGTAGTATGAAATCTTATCTGGACTAAACGGCCTGTTAATCTCCAAAGCAATCCAAAATCAGAAGGATAATACTATGGCACGAATTTTTGAGATGCGAAATTCGTCATCGCTAAAGCGGTGAAGACCATGATGGAGAGCATTATTCAATACTTTCAAGCTTATCGAATCCCGAATACCACTATTCAGGCACAGCCCCTTATATCACCTTTCATATTGATCAGCAAAGAATAGAAAGAGTCAGCCGCACTCATCATACGGTACAGTACTATATCAATGTCAACTAGGAGTCGATATAACATATGTTACATATAGTCTACTCGTCTGCAAGCGGCTGGAATGCTCTCCTATTGATAGAATTTTTAAAAAATTCTCGTTTAATTTCAGTGAACAATACAAGTCAGTAAGGTGTGGATCGAACTTTGGAAGTTCGCCACGAATAATTCATTCCATTAACTGTAAACTTAACAGTTTGCCGTACAGAATTATTTTTCCAGAGAACCTTTAAGACTCTCGATATTTGCTGCAGGCAGCAATTTAAAATTTAGTTTTACACGAGTTTGCAAGGAATTTGCGACCATATAACTTTGATTTTAAAGCTTGATCTTTAGCCATTAAAATTTTGTTTTTACTATGGGAATCGTAGGAGAAACGGGCACGACGGAGGTACATACACACGGCTATATTCTCTTCTAATTTCTTCAGTTTTATAAGGAATGCATGTACTTGAATGAGTGTCTAAAAAAATATTGAGAGATTTTAATCATTAGAGGGTTTTCGGCTGCCATATACAGGGGCATCCACCTTGTGGTTCCGCAAGTAAACGTAAATAAAACTCACTTGCCTCGTTTTGTGTAAAGAGAACAACGCTGATGGTTCTTGCATTTTACTTTTGGGTGCGGTTTGTGCGCTGAAAATGTCATTGCAGAACTAGTCAGGGTGCGTCACACTGACGAGCGGTTAAAAAGTGATACATCAATCTGCAATTTTCCATAGTTTCAAGACGTTGCACAAATCCTGGAAAATATTTATGGAGTTTACGTTGGACGGGTGTTTTATCAAACGCAAGAGCAAGTAGCTCTCGTTCAGGAAATTTTGATGTCAAAGATGCGCCTCGCTCTGTTCGTCCAAAAAATCGAAAAAGCTTGACACAAAAACAAGTCATGACAATGCTAAGACCACTAACTATCGATCACAAAGCTGTTTTAAATTATTTATGTAAGTTTAGCAGGAAAGTCATCGCTCATCTATTATCTACCATTTGAGCGTTTGAGAATCATGTGAATTTTTTTTGGGCAATTTTTTGATTATTTCATATTACATTTCCAAAAACTATATGGCGTGCATGTAATGTTTTGTGTTTGTATAATAACACAGGGGTACAGAAATGAACTAACACTGTAATCAAAAACATTAATTTTTAACTAATCCCATGGTACAAGTGATTGAGAGCCACGTCGTGGTATGATTCGTTATGAAAACTATTTGAGGTAAGGAGGTAAAACTGACCTGCAAAATCCTCAAATCCTCAATTCCTCGCCCACAAATTCCAAAACTCATACAATGATTTCACCAAAAAAAGATCCAAAGACTGCATATAGTAACGGCCACTGTGTACTCGTAATAAACTGTGTAATATTTGTTTCAAATAAGGGAAAGCTTTTATAAAAAAACGACAAAAATTCTCTCAATATTTTGTATGTTAAACCCATAAGAGGCCATGAAGTCTACCTCACTTTTTGATTTTCTTTTTGTGGAGCGCCCCAAAGCAAGTACGATATTTACAAATTTGTACACTCTCTTGGTGGTTTCTGTCAAACGAACTAAACCATTACAATCAATAATTATTTACAATGTAGAGGGAATGTCATTCGAAAATTTACCAAAACGAAGATGATTCTAATCAAAGACAACTAAATGACAACAAAAGTAGTCAGCTTAGTCATAGCAAAATCTGAGCGACTTTTCGCATTTCGTTATCAATTCTTTTATGGTAACACTGCTAATTAGCAGCGATTTGACTGCTTGCTCTGAAGGTAAGGATTGTGGTAGTTAATCTCGGCTTTGCACCGTTACTTTTCACTGTCGTATTCATCCATTTTTGCCAAACAGCTGGAAACAGCAACGAAAGCTACATTTTTCACATGTGATTACCCTGCTGATAAAGTATTCTTGGTTTGTTTTTTCGTACCTATACCATACCATAGCGCTTTAACGCTTTTGCTTTGTAAATGATTGATAAAGTTTAACACTTTAACAGACAATGAAAATGATGCCCAAACATATAGTGGAAATGGAAAGAGTAAGCAATCAAATCGCCGCTAATTAACAGAGCTAATGCTGTTACTGATACCGAAAGTCCCTAAGGTTTTGTTAGTTCATATTTTGAGCACAACGTTAAGACATCTTGTCATTTATGTGTCTGTGGTTCTGATTGATGACCTGACGTGGAATTTGCAAAATCGGATAATTTTCATTATAGAAACGTTTAGTTGAGTTTATCATTTTGTTAGATGAACGATGCTCGAGCCTCGAGTTTTTTTTTTTTCTTTTTTTTTTTGAAAGGAATTTCTAAACTATCTTATACCAAAAAGGCAGTTTCTGTAGGTTATTAAAATTGTACTTAAGAATAATTGCTACTCTGCATCGACAGTTACATTATATAATACAAATTAAATTTAATGATATTAATACATTATACATTTTTATTTAACAATAGAATACATGAACGTTGCAATGTTTAACATACCTGTTAAGCACTGTTGCACGCGAAAATGTCTGCAGGAATATATTAAACGATGGTTGTACGCTCCGCTGAACTAGTGCATGTGCTACTCCCCCCAATACAAACAATTTGACATTTAATGTCTTCCTTAGGTAATTCTCAGGAGGATATCGTCTCGTAGTTGCCACTGCCCAGCAGTGTACTGGTAGCCAACAATGGTGATTGTGTCGATGGTGTGGTGGTACTGTCATATGTCGGCTGTGATCGTGGTGATGTCAATAGAGACTGAACAGCACCAATTGTTATGTTCCCCGAAGTGAGTGATGATGTTAGTGCCGTTGAAATGCCACCGTTTTGCTGCTGCGTAGCAGGATGCGGAAGTGTGCTGCAATTGCTAACAACATTTCCTGCTAAATTAAGCGAGCCCAGCCCGCTAACCATACCACCAGTAATTATACCGCCTGCGACACCACCACTACTACTATTCGTTTGCAGTGAACCATTCGATTGTCCACCAAGTAGAGGCATTGTACAGGTAGTTGTTGAGCCGTAAGGGGAGGTGGGTGAAGTGCGAGTTTCATAGGCTGGCAAGTAGGTGCGGCCTGGTATGCGTGTGTAAATGTTGGCTGGGGTGCGTGTTGACAATAGCGGCGGTGGTGCTGTATAAACGGGCCGTTGTATTGCGGGCGCCCGCTGCGGTGTATTATACAAGCTAAAGGCGGGATTTGTTGTCAATGACAGCTCGCCGTACTGCAAATTATGTGGAAAAGATAACAATAAACAAACATTATGTTAATTAAATAGAATTTAAATTTATCTTCACACTTTCGCACTCTCTCTCTCTCTCTCTCTCTTTTTCTTCGTTTAATATAATTTCTGCTTCATCTGGCACTCAAAAACTTAAGTGTACTTAAGAAAGTTATTACAAGCAATACAGCGAGGAAAAAACTCCATTAAAATACCAAAGTTTTAATTGATTTTTTTAATTGAAAAACTTTTAAACAACACTATTAACTCTACTACAAAAACAATAATGAAAATGTTTAAACATATAGTGACATATTGAAAAATTGTGTTAGTCGTTCGTTAGTCAATTAGAAAAGGCCATTAAGTCAAAAGAGCATTAAAAATAAGCAAATAAAACGTAAATAATCAGAAAGTTTGATTCACATATGCACAGATCTGTCCGGGAGAAGTGATGCATACATATGCAGCTAAACGGATAATGAGTTAATTGTTCTCAGACTAAAATGAATAAGAAGAACGATAACTTTATTCGCCTCGGGACTAATTTTATGTAACGATTTTAGTGGATTTAGCGGATAGTTTAATTTCATTTGTCCGTGGGAAGCTTTTTTTTTGTTTTGATGCCTTGCTCTTAGACTTCAATTTCTGAATATCACATATTTAATATGGAATAGTCGTATGGACGGACGCCATTTCACAATCCTAAAATGAAAGTTTTCACTTCATAGTGCTGTATGTTTTTATCGAACATTATATTGTTAGCAGTGAAGATAAAAGAAAACGAAAATGTCAGCGAGGGAGTGTAAGTGATTACACGAATTCATAGATTTCATACAGTTTTGGAAAAGCGAGCATATTTGCTTCGTGATCTATGTTTGGGATTTTAATAACATAACACACGAAAAAAAATGCACCTTTCAATAGCCACTTCTATACGAGATCGCCCATCAAATGTAGCGGGAAATTTCCATTGTAATATATAATGGACTTGTTCTCAGTTTACGCCGCGCTGTAGGCGTGTTCTTTGCCCGATTTGACGCATTGCCAAAAGAATATTTACAGCAAAACGGCAGATGAACGGAAGGGTTGTGGCTTGATTTGGAAGGTTTATGAATCTACCGTTTGGGTAAATTTTTTTGAAAACTTCGGTGTTAGTTGTAAAACTTATATACCCTGAAAGTCATGAGCATGGTGAGCATATATGGAGTTAAAATCGAATGTTTTTCTGAAAATTTTGAGTCTTAAAACTTGCTTAGGTTGGTATTATTTGTAAATGCGGCCTTTTAAGCAAAAAACAATTTGCTTACACTGCACTGTGTTGCCCAGCACTAAGATCATGAACTAATACTTTGAACAATGCTAATGTATTAGATGTTCGCAAAAATTTTGATCACGTTTTCACTTGAAAAAGTCATTTATTGTGGACAATCGGCAAAGTATTAATATATTAATTAAAATATTTGCCATAATTTTCTACAATATTTTCAGCAACATGACGATATCACGTCGAAAGAACTTAAATTGGTTTGGCAGCGATTCATCCACGGACCCATTTTCGCACTTCTACAGCTCTGCGGATCTGCGTGCCAGCCAACCCATGCTGCGTCGATCTGAACAAGTGGCAAGCAGGAGGTTTCACGTCCCGCTAGTACGTTCGGTGCGGCATAAGATACCTTTCGAGCTGTAGCAATGTATCCTGGACAATTCTTGCAACAAGTGGCCAAAAAAATGGCATTTTCAGTCAATTCGTGTCGCCACCTTCACCAACCGTTGGCTTCAAAACCGACAATTAGGACAAGATACAATAGTGTAGCCTGGATAATTCTTGAAAAAGTTCGGCGTCAGATTTCTTCAAATAAACAAGAAGATTGTGTATGAATTTGGAAGAGTGAAATGTATTTGGAAGAACTTTGAGCGCTGCATGATTAGCGTCGGCGCACCCTGAACAAATCAATGATATTAAATGGAAAAACTCTTGCTTTATTTAGATGAAGGTTAGAACGATCAAATTCAACCGTTATGTAAACTGGTATTTCCCATTTTTACCTGAAGAAGTCGCTGATCAAAATTTTTGCAAACACCTAATATGAGATGGCCCGCGCCGACACATTTTTATTTAAAGACTTAATGAAATGCCTCATTTCCTGTAATAATTAGGCACAGGCGATATTTAGTTAATAATTTTTTATTGTTTTTTAAAATACATTATAAAATATTGATTTACTTCTACATATCTAAATGTGATGGTTTTGAGTTTACTAGTCAAATATTTGTCACTAAAGATCGGCTAAGTCTGTATAATTAATTTCAAAAAAAGCAGATAGATAGTTTCTAATGGCTTACGCTATATACGATTCAATACGATATAATAAAGCAATTCTCAGATATGATAGATAATTATTTAATTGTTACGAAGCGATTGAAAGTGCGGGGCAATATCATAAGTGAATAGTTTAGGACCCAAGAAACCACCAAAGCCAGGACGTCCCTTATGATAGATACCAATGCCAGCCAAGGGTACCGGAGGATTTGATGTGACATCTTGTATGTCGATAAAAGGCACTGTCGATTGCCCGGCATCTTTACGCATGCTTGATGGGCTAAATTCAATATATTGATTATGCCGTGAGTCTGGGATTGACTTAGCCTTTGTACGTGTAGGCATATCTGGTTCATCTAGAATTATGGCAGCTCGTCGATTTCCACTAACATCGGTGTTGTCGTTTGATTTCCAAAAACTATTGTTCTCGGGATGCACCAGTTTCCCAGTTTCAAAATTAAATTCCGTTAAGCATACTTCCAAATTTATATGTGAACTTATCACTCGAAAACGTACACCAGTTACTGTAAAAGTATTGTCGTCGGTTTGAACATCGTCTAAATCAATGGAACGCGCGCTATAACTTAGTGTATAATAATCTCGATTATTATGAACATTTTCGTCATGGAGGGTGTAATTTTCGACAGGCTTCCATGCTAAAGAAGTTCTGTTGATATTACCTCGAGGTAGAAGTTCACCATCTTGTATTTGCAAATGAAATATACGATTTTTTTTTGTAAAACGTAAACCTGTTACTACTCTGTTGGACGCCACGTCAGATCGAGTTTCGCGTAAATTGAAGTACCGATCAGTTTTTGTACTGTAGATGTCATCGCAATAGCAAAAACAGTAACTGCAATGCCAAAATAAATATCGCCACCAAGAATTCACTTGCTGAGTATCGCGGGCACATTTTCTTTCTTCCCCGAATGTAATACCATTATCATATTGAATATACTCATAACGTCTTGCGCTATTCTCAGCCGATGTACATACGGACATGTGAGAATCAACGTAACGGCATGTGCGCAAATAGCCTGTACACGGTTCTTGGCGAGCGAATGATTTTTTCTCAACATTTTTAGCATATGTGTAGTCGTTGCACGTGTACCAACACTCCCGGTTATCATTCATGTCAACTTCATTCTCAATATAACCTTGAATTAAACGTGTGATTTCCTCATAGGTTTCACCTAACTTGTAGACGGCAGGGTCGCAACGCCAAACACTACGATCAGCGCTATCCATTGTTTTACGCAACAAACGCACAGTTTTCTCGTTACGTCGTCCATACTCTTGTCTCATAAGTGTCGATTCTTGGGTATAGTTACCTTTGCCATAAATACGCAAGATCATCCAAGAGAATTGCATCATCGTATAACTTTTAAGTTCGGTTAAAGCAATATCCGAATATAAGAAATATAAGAATTGTTGCGTCGACTGTCGACCATTACATCGTTCTCCTTTTGATTGCTCATAGCCTTGCATTAATAAATCGAATATGTTGACCGAAGCGATTTTTTCTTCGGCCCCAAACATAATCAAAGATAATCGACCCATTAGGTTATAAGCCGAATAGGCGCTTGGCGATACTGTCCACTCGGCGAAGTCCAATAACGTTCCTGTTTCCAATTTGTCCTGATAAGCTTCGTATGTCTGCATTTGTTTAAATCGTGACGAGATTTGATTAATAATGTCCTCGATTTCGTTACGTTTGTGCAACAATTTTAAATTACTTTCAATATAATTATTAATCGAATCCACTGCCACGGCGATTTGTTCAGTGTGCTGGTCTTCAATTTGTGCAATTTGCTTGCTAACCTCCTTTAGGCGTGTGAGCACTTTTTGGTGCTTATCTTTAGCCAAAGGAAAATTTAAACCCTGAGCGGTAGCCTCATCTTCTACTACATCTTCTACTATATGCCAGGCTTTCAAAACATTTACTGTTATTGTTTTAGTTACCTGAAAAACATCTAGGACGTCATCAATTAAAGCGCAACTTTGCATGGGTGCCGATAAGAATGTCGCAAGACATAATGTTACTGCGGCGAATATTTGACGTTTTTGTGGTAACTTCATTTTTCAATCTGATTTACTTTTAACGTTTAGTTTTAATATAATTATGAAAAAGGAGTTTTCCCTTTTTTTTATACTTCAGGCAAACGCATGGACGTAAAACACTTTCTTCCTTTGATTAGAACAGTTCGGCTTCTCCTTCGTGAATATTCAACGAGTCAACATCAGACTTTTCGAGGCGTTATAGAAAAAGCACAGGGTGAACACAATGTTCGTTTTCTGGACGTTAATATCTTTGACAATTAATTCATGACGTTGGTTAGCATTAGATTCTTACACTTATTGGTGTTAGTGAATGCTTCGCCATATCATAAGTATTGCTTCCGCTATTATAAATATTTTTATTTATTTTTCCTTTTAACAGATTTTATTCGTATTTTAGAGGATTTTTTTTTATTTATTTATTAAAAGTATCTAATATATTTTTTTTTGTTTTATATATATTTATATATTTTTTAAAACTTTTTTGTTCTTTGTCTTGAAGCCTTCTCAGCAGAAGATAATCCGTATATACAAATATAACAAACTCGAACAAAGAATTCAACAAAAGAAATCCTCACTAACATTTCTAACTTGGCTTCACTGTCTCAAGACATATGATTTCTTTATTTTTAAAATAAAAGTTAGTGAAAACCTTGTATATTTTCTCCAAAAAAAAAAAGTAAAACGAGCTAGATCTTTCAAGATCGTTATAAAGCATTATCATCTTATAAGGAAATCATACGAATTAGAGAGAAGAGGGGAGTAAAGGCTGATCGATGAAGGCATATAGGACTGAAACAAATTGATGGGATGACGTTGAATTTACGTTCCTTTGTGTCTAGAAATGCTGATTATTCCACTTTTAGTAACCATCTTCATTAAATTTCCTCAAGAAATTCTTAAAAAATTTAGTCAGATTTCCAATACGTTATATTTGACTGGAAGTATTTAAACTGAAACTCTTCATTTTAATATTTTGCTTTCACAAAAATGTATTCTTTCAGTTGATGAGTCCCTGAAAGAAATCGTAAAGTTAAGTTTAAGTTTAGCTTAAGTACCAGTTATAGTGCAAACGAATCTCGTAAAAAACTTTTTTTATTAGGTGAAAATTAAATTTTTCCAATATTCAGTATGGTAACATTAGTTATTTCTTTACCATTGATAGGTTTATTTTTATTCATACAACAAAAACTTGGCATCATTTCCAAGTTGAGTTTTATAGAACGTTTTCAGCTATTTCTCTTAAATAGCTGAATACGAAAGCGAAAGTTAATTTTTGGATATGTAACTATCTCTTGTTCCAGTCCCCCTTTTTCACCAGTTACCTCACGTATATAAAACCGAAAGTCAAAAAAGGATTGTAACCACGTTTTTGCCAAACAGCTGAAAAGTAGGCGAAAGTTAACTTTCAGTTAGGTGATTACCCCGCAATGTTACATAAAAAAAAGACGTTCGGTTTCGGAACGAAACAGTCGACATTATGGAAAGTGTTTTCAGTGAAAGATCGTCTATAAATCAATTATGCTTTCTGCTTCCAACTATTGATTGCTCGCAAATGGACTTGTTGTTGTAAGCTTATTGCCAAATGACGGCCAGGACACGAAACCTAAACCCTTTTCTTAGCTTAAATGGGTTTTATTGCGATTGTGTGGATCAACGTCTTCCTATTTAGGCCATAGGAAACTCTTTAACATGGGTCTACATAGAAGTAAGGACTGGTTAGGGCCCCAATACGCAAACCGCTCTTATGGAATTTAAAGGCGCGCCGTGAGCAGCTTGTACTTTGTTGTCACATAGAAAATAATTTTACAGATCTGATGAGACTTTGAGGTGAAAGTGATCATCATCGATCTGGTGCAACAAGATTGTGCTATAAGAATCATCAAAAATTTGCATATACTCCAATCCCCCTTGAGGGATGGTACACTTTTACGATGAAATTGCAATTCTTACTGAATGCAACTAACAAGGCTAACGATTTTCATATTTGTCATGGCGGCAATGTCAAGAAAAAATCATAAAAAATTCTACATTATATATGCTGTTTTAAATCAGCCGTAATACTTTAGGACACTGGGTTGCACTCCTTACAAATTATAATTTCATACAATGGGATGGTAAATTTCCTGCATTGTCGCCATCCAATGATGGCTTGAATAATAAAACTAAGGAGTAATTAAAATCTTGTGTCACATTAATTAGCCATTTGTTCCGTTCAGCTTTAAGCAGTAAAAAAAATATGCAATGAGTATGAATAAAAGTGCAACAACAAAAATTCATGAATACTTGAATATTTTTCAACAAGCAAAATCATAGAAATTTAACACCTGTGCAACAACTAAACTGCACATATGCGGATGCAGATATATCAAAAAGCCACAGCAGAGTAACGGGGTGATGACCGCACCGTACAAAATGTGAGCGATTTTACATACCTGTTTGCTGAATGTTGGCGAAAGGGATGGCGGTGGAGGTGAAGCAGTGTTAAGTCTATTTGTTGGCGTGTATAAAATGCGCTGTGATTCCATATTTAGACGATCGAATGCTTTCTCTTCTAAATGGAATTCATCCTCGCTATTCGTTTCCTGCGGTATGACATCAGGATTTTTATCCTCTAAACTCGAATGACTGCCCATGTTACGTGAGAGTGGTTCAGCACTACCTTTATCCGCCTCTGTCGTGGTCGTATCACCATTCTGACCACGACGTGTATTTTTTGTACGAAATTTCATGAAAATCACAATACAAATAGCCACTAGCACCAGTGTGGCTATGACGCCGACCAATGCTCCTAACAGTGGTGTAAGTTGAACTAAAACCGCCGTTGAGGATGCTATCATTTCATCCCATATGTTCATTTTGCCACATAGAAATATAAGACATGAAAAGAAGGCCAAAAAACAAAAAAAAAAAAAAAACAAGAAAAAAGAAATGATAGCCGAGAAAGAAACAAATGAACACGTTAAATAAACAGAGAAAACGAATAAGAAGGAAAAAGAGTAGAAGAAGAACACGTTCGGACACAGAAAAAAGTAAAAATTAATTAACTTGAAAAAGTAAATTTTCTTTTGTGTGTTCGCTAAAATTTTTAGTATGTTGTCCCATAAAAAGCTGTTATTTAATTTATAAACTCGACAAAAAAAAAAAAAAAAAAAAAAAAAATGTTTTCAATTAAAGATAGAGGAAAAAAATTTTTTAATTGAATTCTTTTAAAATGTAAACGAAGGCTTATAAAAAACCCTAGGAATGTCCGAATGCTTTTACTTTTTTCAACTTTCGTTTTCTTTTTTCCTTTATCTCATGCCACTTGCAAAGGTATTCATCCTTTACAGTGCACATACACATTAATTAATTTTCTTGTCCAGCGAGTATATATAATAGTTGTTGTACTCACCGGTTCTCAATAGAGGCGCCATTAGTGTGCGAGCGCGTAACTTATAGGTTAGTTTGCTGGGACCCTGACCGTTAACCGCCGTAATCCGTATAATGAACATCGAATCGCTAGGCAAACGTTTGATTGTAAAGTCGGGATTACGATACGATATGTTGTAAAGTATCTGTCGACTCGTTTCATCATATATTTGTACATGAAAGTGTTGCGGTATACCACCATCGAAACCGGCCACACATTGTATTTGCAATGAATTTGCGGTAGCATTATAGGCTGTGCAATTTTTAACAGGATCGGGCAGATCTTTAAAAACAAAAACAACAATATATAGAAAACTTTTCCAATATTAATTTGAATGAAAAAATCCGGCCGACGTAATTCGCCAGCGTGCTTATTATTACTAGATCGCGTCATAAATAACTTCCTATGTAGGTAGGTAGAATCTATTGTTCGTATTTACCCAGTTATCAGTCATCGAAATCAACGAGTTTTTTGTTTTCACCATATAGATAAGGATTCAGTTAGTCTGCTGTCAACTGCTTTATGTGATGCATGTTATATGCATTCAACTGCTTTTCGTAACCTTGGAAACGGATAGGCAAGAGTGCATATTCGACATGTAATGCAGCTGAAAAAATTTGCGTTGTGAAGGCCTGAAGTTAGAAATTGGTTTGTACAATTCCGTTGTGGAGATACGATCTTAAAAGACGAATCGAGGGCGAGACGCCCTTTCGACTTTGGAGGTCCAGTAGGCAATATTGGAGTAAAATCCACGCACATACAGCAAGCATGAGTTAAAAACATATTCTTGAGCTTGGATGGTCTGTTTTGCTGCACCCACCTTACTCCCTGGACCTTGGCCCCACAGGTTGTAATATTTTTGCGAGATTATTTCGTTAAATTGATGTTTTTTTTTGATTACCCACTAATCATGTAGGAGTGGATAAATAAGAACCATAATATATACCTCGTACGATATGAAGGTAAATACACATAAAAAAAATAAGGTTCCACTTGCGTGAAAAACTTGAAGGAGCGTCATCGAGACGAACGGTATGGTTTTTTTCTAATTCTCGAAAACATTTTTCATCAATGTCCGTAATGTTGTTGAGCGAAATATAGTAAGCGTTTCGTTCAGGAAAGTACTCTTCTGTCATAAACTTGTTTGGACTGCGGCAAATTGTTGAAAAATGAGGTTAATTTTCTAGTTCTTATTGGAAATAGAAATTTAAAACAGGTGTAGTTCTTATAAACCGAAAATTTTATATTCTTGGCATTAAATTGGTGTAAAGAAAACTGCTTGCTTCAAATTTGCCAAAACGAAGACCATTTCGTGCTCTCGAGCTAGTGCGACAGATATGGGGTAAAGTGCGGTCATCGAACCACGAACCTTAGGCAGCTTAATGAAGTCCTTAATGTTCTAGTCAAGGAAAAATGAACAAGAAAAGTTTACCTGCCCTACGTAAGGCTTCCGTTTGGCCCTACTTTCACTATATAGTGTACAAAGTGCATATAAGGTGGGTCCGCGAAGTTTCTTACCCAATATTTCGACAGCATGTTTAACACTACTTTTTACATTCCTCAAATGAAGATAAATTATCTGCCAAAGTACGGGTTAATTCTAAAATAAATATGGTGGACACTACGATCTGGTGGATTAATTTTCTTTTAATAACACCAGCGATGTGGGTATCAAATAAAAGAGCATGGAGAGCAGAATGTTCTAAAAACTATGTGAGTTAACTCTAAATTGATTGCGGTGAACGTCACGACATGATAATTAAATTTTTTCTTGGAGATACTTTCCATATGGGTGTCAAGTAAAAGGGCTTGGAGAGTAGAATGCGAAAAGCTAAGTGTGTTAATGGTAAGTTGTATATGGTTGACGTTACGACGTAGTGGAGTAAAGTTGCTTATCAATACCTTTTAGTAAAGTAAATGGAACATTCGGCCATAGGCGAATGTAATTTTCTTACGGCTTGATTCTATTTTAGTTCTTTTGCCTCACGCTTTGCTTTAGTATGTTGATAATAAAACATTTCTAACAAATATTTTGGCGTAAGTTAGTGAAAGGTTTTCGAAATAGAAAAAAATTTTATTTCAAAATTTTTTTATAATTAATTCGTCACATGTACAGACAAACCAGTTAAGAGTAAATTGCCAAAAATTGAGATTTTTAAATCTAGCAGCTAAGCGATGTATATGTCTAGGCGTTGCAAACATTTGACCAACGTAACATAATCTCAGGGGGCAAAATGGAATGTCGCACGTTGCTAATTAATAAATTTTTTTTCTTTCTTTCTTACCAAAAAATGTAGGGTTTTTTTTTTTTTAATTTTTTTTGTCTTTCATTGTCGCAACAGCATGAATTAAAATGTTATTAAATGCAACAATTTTAACAAAAAAAAGAAAAAAGGAGAACAATTGGTGGCAGACGAAGCATCGACCCATTCAAAAACAATGCTTTCTCCTTACTTGTAATAGCTTTGAGAAGAAATTTTTTTATATGAAAAATTATCTTTAACTTTTCCTTTGTAAAACATGGTTTTTTTTCTCATGTGTTCTTCCTCTGCACTTTTGTTGCTTTCAAGTTAATAGAATGTGCTTTGTTTTCAACAAAAAATTTAGGTTAAAAGGTAAGTGCCTCTGCTAGAAAAGATGAAAAGGTACTCTTAAGTACACCTGATGCTATTACTGCAAGCCTTTGTCGTCAACCTTAAAAAGACTGAATTCAATGATTTGCAACTAGTTTTTTTTTAGATCCTTTCGTATTACAATTTTTTTTCTTTTAAGTATTAAATTTTCTCAACAAAGTTATTTAAATTTGATGAAATATTCATTCATATTAATATTTTTACATTTATTTATTTTGATTAAAATGAATATTACGTGAATCCTTTTAAGAGAAAAGCATTTAGCATATATATATATATATATATATATATATCATGTGATGTGTTCGCAAAAAACTAAATCCAAGTTATTAAAACATCAACAGCAGAAAACATATTTAAATTCATCTACGTTTTTTTTCTTTCTTTTTTTTTCTCATATATGCCTTTGCATGTATTAAAATTGCTATTGTAAAAAAAAAGAGAAAGAAAAACAAGTAAAAAAAAGAAAAAAATTTAATAAATGAATAAAAAAATGAAAAAAAAAAAAGAAAAAAACAGTAAACGGTAAAAAAGGCTTATATGACTAACAAACATTTACTCAGTGACCCGTTGGCATTAATTTTGCGTTTTGTTTGTTTGTTACACTCGCCGGATTATTTGAAAAGGTTAACAACGATTCAATTGAAATTTATATCTGTGCACATGTCCGCTTTAAAGCCTCCATTATAGTAAACAAAAAATTGTGCCCAACAAAAACAAAAAAAAACATTGAAATGAATATTATCGGGCTTAAGTAAGTGCATAAAAGTAGAGTATAAAGTATATAAAAACAAATGACAGATAATACGTATCAGTAGGAAACCAGGATGCATATCCGTTAGTACTTATGTAATAAACAAAACAAGCGAACAAATTTTTTAAGATAAACAAGAAACAGATTATATTCGGTTTAAGCCAAATCTTTTCATATCCACCACTACCGGCTTATTTATTGCTTTTTCGAAACTATGGTAAATATTTTCATTACAAATAAAGTTTACAATTATTTTTTAAAATTTACAAATTTTAAGTAAGAAACCAAAAGTTTCACTACTGACTGCCGCTTGCAAGCAATAAATATCAGGAGAGTGAGCTATCGACAGTATAAGCAGTACCTTGCTTACAATCAAAGGATTGACTGCAATGTAAGCTTCTGCTGCAGACTGCTGCCTACCACAAGCAAATGTCAGGAGCGTACTAGCACTAGCAGCGTAAGCAGTACCTACTTTGCAGCAAAAAAGAAAAAAAAAATAGTAACAGACATGCCGGGTGCGTCTGAATGCTGCTTATAGGCGACATTAGTCAGGCGAGGGTTTCAAGGACAGCACCTTGCATTGCGTCTTGCTTGCAATTAATAATTGTAGACTGTTCAAGCTGCTGGTATGCATTGGCAGAGATTATATCGTGGACGGAAAAGAATATAAAAATTGGTCTTCTTCCCTTTACTCTAAGAGGAACTCCACACGGGCTCTTTCCAGGAGGGGCATATTCGTTATATATTGCCTATGCGAGAGTAAGTTCTGCGTTCCATTATTCGAATCGTGCAAACGAAATTGATTTCATCAAAAGAAGGCGCGAAAAAAACTTATGAGGAAAGCTCATAAGCTAAGGTTAATAAAGAAGGAAGAAAAGTTAAAAGCCTCAGTGACACTACAAACAGCAGAAAAAAAACGTAAAATTGGAGATAGCGGGAGATCGTTTTATCGCATTGCCAATCCCACCTTCACCTCAATGTGTTTCCATAAGAACAGAAGCGAACTCTATTAATACAACGCTTTTGGAATGTTTTGCATTTCATTGAAAAAAAGGCATAGAGCAACGCGTAAATGAAGTCAGCTTAAGAGGAGATTTTCAAATTAATTTTTTGTTTTTAAATAGAATTCATTTTGAGGGGAAGCAGATAAGTGCTCAGAGCTTTTTGAAGCCTTTCCATTCTAAGAAAAGACAAAGAAAACGTACTCGCATTATAGGGTTATTTGTGGGTGAGGCAAACCTAAGAGGAGTAAATCTATTTGTTTTTACTTTTTTTTTTTTTTTTCGCTTACTTCGATTAAAGGAACAACTAACTGTTTTCCAAAATAGTTATCGCATATCGGAAGAAGAAAAACTGACTTGGCCAAAGCCAAGATTTTAGATAAACTTTTAAAGTCATAGTCGTATGTACAACGCGTACAGACAGATACAGATACAGATACAGATGGGCATTTTCAAAATGGCGAGATTGTTCATGCTGAAGATGAATATGTGAACTCTCTTAAGTGTTGCAAACACTTAACAAAGTTAATATACCCGACGTCGAGGATAAACAAAATCTGAATATAAAAGTTGATGATAATTTATTTATATTGAGCTTGCAGTGAATGAATGTAAATTGTGCGTGCGATAGACGAGATGCTTATTGAACTTAACTTAAGTAAGCACTTGATATTTTATATAAAAAAGCAGAGATAGTGAATGCATACCTGCCGGTTGTATGTGATACCAACAGGGTTGACTGTGACCCATCGGGCTGCTGGCTACGCAAGAGATGGCACCAAAACTTTCATATGTTTCCAAATGATAGCTATAAACGTTATTTAATGGTGCAGCGGCCGTTGTCGTCACTGCCAGCCGATGATGTTGTTGCTGCTGGTGATGCTGTTGCTGTTGCTGTTGCTGCTGCTGCTGCTGCTGCTGCTGCTGAAATTGTTGTTTGTGCAATGCCGTAAAACGTTTACGCTCTGACAATTGGTATTGATTGCTGGCATGCAAGCTATCATGTATTGGTTCGGTATGCATGGGACGTTGCTGCACGCGCTGTTTGCTCTCCAAATGGTTTTTATAAACCGCATTTGAGTAAACCATTTGAGTGTAAGGCACCACCGTACCATCATAAATGCTATTTACGTTTTCGTCATTATCAATCACATCATCATCATCATCATCATCATCATCATTATCGTTATCATTATCATTATTATTGTGATTATTATCATTATCAGCATTATCATCATTATCATCATCATTATCGTCAGCATTACCAGCGTCAGTATTGTTGCTATCATTCGTTTCATCATCGTTCCCATCATCGTATTCGTACAAATGATGCTGGTCATCGACATTGACTTGTTCATCATTGAAGTTTCGATTGGACCATATACCTCTGCCGTTGCCCTCAATTATATGTTTAGCATTTCTGAACGCAATGCGACCATGACGTGTATGATGTGCATGTACTAACTTCGGCAATTGCTGTTGTTGAGCGTGACTATGTTTCCGTTTGTTACGTTGATAATATCCGGCGGAAGCATGATTTGCGTCTGTATGCTGCAATAGCATTTGTTGATGTTGTTCTTGCGGGTTAGATGCACTACTGCTCCCACCATTGTAGGGTAATTCGATTAGATTCTCAAGTGAATTGTTAAAATGCCATTTGTAATTTAGATAATCAAGTGGATTTGAATCTACTTGACAGGTAATGTTAATGGTTTGTTTTACGGCTGCCCTTATAATGGTTGAGTCAGACATGCACACCGGTGGGTCTGTGGAATGACGCAGAAAAGTTAATAAGGGAATTAAACAGTAGCGGATCCATTAGCTCAAGACCGAAATAATAATTTCTTGTAAAACAATACGAGAAACTTTTCAATTCTTTTTAATTCTTACAAACATTTCTGATAGCATTAAAAACGAAAAAACAATAATGCATTGTTTTAATAAGTAATTGATTGAACAAAAATTGATAAAACTCAAATGGCAAACCTCACCACGGGGCAGATGGATGCTTAAAGTTCAATCACGAAGGAGTGCTTGAGAGATCGTATAAATCTATAAAACTCTTTCTTTTTTTTTTTGCACTTTTCCTTATTGTTGTTGCTTTTTTATTATTCTAACATGAAAGTATTTGCAAACACATATAAGTAAGATTGAAAGTACATAAAGTATAGGGTGCTTTTGTGTACTTAACATAGAAAAGCCTCTCAATGAAAATAAGCCATTGCCTAAGTCTAATAAGCACGAACTTCACCATTACCCACCCATACAGGGTCTATGCATACGACAAACTTTCTTAAAGGACAAGAGCAACGTTGCACACATACAATAAAGCCTTTTACATGGTATTACAAAAACAACAGTTATTTGTTATTAGTAAGAATTATGTTGAATTTTCCTAAATTGCAGGACTTGATTTTCAGTTATCACCACTGCGTGGCCTTTCTCTTCATTTAGCCATTCAGCTGCTGCAGCTGGAAAGAAGTTGCTCTTGATCAGATATAAGGCGATCTTGTCTGTAAACAAAAACAAAAAGTCAATATTACTTGTCTCTTAGTGAAGCTTATATTTTTGATGAAAGTCGCCGGCTTAGGGCTAATGGTCGCGTCTGCTGGACGTTACATAATCCTATAAAATTTTACTATCGACCCCAAACAGAAGACAAAGTAGTGATTATCCATTTTCTGAAAAGGATTACCACGAGATAGCCATCAAGGTGCAGCAGTGCATGCTTGCAATAATCTCTTCAAACATCGCCGTTCAGATGATGAGTTAAGTTGAACTTAAAAAAGTTATTTCTTCACTTATTGAGATTTTATGGACACGTTATTTGAGCAGTGTTATTGTGAACGAACATAACCTCCAATAAAAAGGTTCAGCAATTTTCCATCGCCCTCGAAAGCTAACATTCAACGGTTAAAGAGAGAGAGAGGGAGAGAGAAGTTCCAATTAACAAAAATTCGACAATTGATGGGAACTATGCTGGCAAAGGAAACTCTTATTAAACATTCGGGTCCGTAGTTTCGCGATCACATTTACTCCAATTGCTTGCTAAGATAGATGGTTTAATAAGCTTAGATATGTTTGCTCTTTTCCATCGTCAGAGCACTGGTACGCAATTCTTACACTTAAAGACGCACTCCTGTGAAAATGAATTTGCTTTCATTTATTTTACTTACATTTTACATCCAGATAGACTTCATTACTGGAGACACTACCCTGTATATTGGTGGCACGGCAAAAGTATTGGCCATGCGACCCCTTCGAAATGCCTTGCAAGACTAAAGTTTGATTTGAAATAATTATGCCACGCGATGAATGCAGTTGTTTATCCTAAAAGTATGAGAATGAAAAGAAAATGAAAAAAAAGAAAAAAAAAAAAATGAAAAAAGATATAAGTCTAGGAAATGCTACATACACATATATAAAAGGTATTTATGCACGTACATGGCACAAATATAGATTAATGTAAATGTGTTTCTCTCTTTTATTTTTCTTTTTTTGTTATTTTTTTGTTTTTGTTTTTGTTTTTCTGTGAAAAGCTCATAAAAATTTCTACATTAATCTAAGCTGAAATAGCTTATCCTATGAACCTATGTATGCATGTCTAAAGCTGGAAATGGAATTTTTAATAAGCTAACTTATCTCACACATATAGCATATACATATATATATATATATATATATATACATATATATGCATATACATATTAGTAGACTGAAATGAAATGAAACTTTGCCAGTCATTTTATGTATTTAAAGTTCACATCATATGGTATATGGTATGCATGTCTGTTACGTATAAATGAAATTAAATGTAAATATGTATACGATTTGGAGAATAAAACCAAGTAAACATGTTTTGGCTACATTCACGTTCATTCATTATGCCCACAACGGCTGACTAGTAATTATTAATCACTAATTGTGTCAATCTGTTTGTAATGTTGAGATCTTTCAGTTCGTTATTCTGAATCGATGACTTAACCAAATAAAGATGCACGTCTACCCTTCTATATGCTTAGTAAAGGGGATAAAGAGCCTCATAAATACACAGATAAGGAGCCATAAGTAATGTTTAAATAAGCACTTGTTTACGATATAAGCGAAGTGAGCTCGTAACGGAAGGCATTGAGAAAACATTTTTCGTTATTGGAGAAAATAACAAAGACTAGTAGCGCAAAGACTCTATGCAATGCTTTCTTATGATAATCTTTTGTTGTTTTCGTACTAAAATCCCCTAAAACACATTTTTAAGTTCCGTTTAAAAATTTATGACTTACGACGTTTGCAGACCTCTTTCGCAGGTACCTGATGACCGTTAACAGAATTTTGCAATACTAGGCTTTGCCATGTACCTGATATTTTATTACACTCCCTACAACATCTAATAAAAATGTATTAAGTTTGTGCGTGTGTGCGCAGCAACCGAAGAACTTCATATAAATACATCTTTTAGCATGTGGATCAATTCACAATACTTTTCTGCACCAGTCTAAGCATGTTTGTCCGTTTGTCCCTTTAATACCGTTATTTTTGTGTGCAACCCGCAGGTTGCAGTGTTTCAGATATTTTAATGAATTGTGGTACACTGTGTGTTTTGGCACAAGCGTAAACTGCATTTTGAATTACACTATTTTGGAGAACTTGCAAAAAATACGGAAAGCATGAGTGCTCACAGCTTTTGCTATATCGACATATGGCCGTTGTAGGCGTGTTCCTTGAAAAGTGTTAATGAGTTTTAAATTCTTCGCAAGCTTTTTGCCGATATCCCAATTTTTGTGAACGGGAAACTGTTTACCCCAGATAGTATACAGTTGCGCCGGGGGACAGATATGCTTAGGTACATTCCAGATTTGAAATTGGCCAAGAATTTATAGCATTGGATAACACCGAAGGACAATGGGTAGATTCATTTTGTCAAAAGGTTTGCAACGCCCAGAAGGAAACTTCAGAGACTCGAAAAAGCATACACTTTCTTGATCAGCATCAAGTCCGGAAACGATTAAAGTACGTCTGTCCGTCCATTTGCGTAATGTCTGTTGTAAACATTCTCCTGGATGCAAAAATAAAGCTATCGACTTCAAATTTGGCAGAAGCATTGGAAGTTCTTGCACGCGCTACTGAAAATGAGCCTAATCGGTCGAAGGACATGCTTACAGTGCTACGTGAATCCTTTGTCAAAAGGAACGAAATTTTGGCTTATTGCCCATTACTTATAAGCTGCAGCATAGAAATATATAAAAGTTTGCACGTATATCCCTCGGACGATGTTATAGTACCTCTGCAAAAATGGAAAAATCGGCCGCGCCTACTCAATTTTATATTTACTTTTCCAATAACTTTTATAATGTGCAGAAGTACACTTGAAAAACCCCATAAATGCTTGCCCAGTTTCGAATTCAGATTATACCTAAGCGTCCGTCCATCTGTCCGTCTGTCGAACTGTATAGTATCTGTCGTAAATATGCTCCGGTTTGCGAAAGTGAAGATATCGCGATCGATAAAAATTGCGAGAAGGAAGCGCCTTCAATGTCTACATATCTATGAAACAAAATTTGTGAAATCCTTTGGTCTCTGTGTGTTTGGCTATTCTCACAAAATACAACACTTACATCATATCAATATCCACTTTTATTCTTAAAATAGCCACGCCCATTTATTTATTTATTTTTTGTAGCTCCTTTTAATATAACAATGATGGGTACAAGAGATTCGGTTACGGGGAAACATAATTTTTTCGCTTGTTCGTACTTTATAATGGGAGTTAATAAAAAATGACATTTGAGATTACTGCGATACATTTGGACTGTGCAGTGATATTTTTCCATACAAGGGTTCTCATTAAAAATAAATCCATATGTTATAAAAAGTTTTTGATATTCTATGACGAAGACGGGTGAAGGATAATATATTCTTTGATAGAAAATGAATTTAGATCATGACAGTTCACGTTTTGGAGTTCTTCCAAGCAAGTGTTTTTTTAAGAAAAATAAACTTTTTTAAAGGAAGAGTATACAAAATTTAATATTTTATGATGAAATTAGATGAAGAAGTGTACTGCTACTTAATGATCGGTCTTATGCGAACGTAGTGTTTTAACTTGTTTATTGTAAAAGCCTTGATTTTCTATTTTTTATATCTATTTATATGCAATCGGTTTCGGTCGCTCCATGTAATGCGTTTACATCATCAATCATGTTTCGTTGTAGTGAAAATTAACTAAGTGCATAAAGAAAATAAATGCGGTGCAAAAATGAAATAAGAAAATGTTTTCCTATGTTTGCAATAACTGCAAAAATATTGATTTAATGTCGTAAACTATATTTATTGAAAAGCTATATAAAAATTTAATATAAAAAACTATTCGAACCACATGCCATTAGCAAGGAGAGATAGAGAGAGAGAAAGAGAAGGAGATGGAGAAAGACAAAGAAAGAGAAAACGAGAGAGATTCACCGAACCTAACAAACGAATAAGCGATTTTAACATTTAGTTTAATTTCGACGACGACCAACGCTACATGCAGTTTTTATGTTTCGTTCAGTTAAATGTGTGCAAGAAAATATATATTCGATCATGAAAAATTGCATACAATTCATATTGTGTATGAAATATAAATTGCTAGTTAAAAGCATACTTTTTGGGGTTAATAAATTAAACAAGTATTAAAGAATAGTAAAAGTCTCGTTATATATACATATATATGCTCAAAAATTGCAACAATATTCTTCCCAAGAAGAATACGTTAGATTTGTCAAAGGGTTATATAACCTACAGAGATATTACTCGTAGAATATGTGTATGAACGGGAAAGAGAGAATTCGTTTAAGTTAGTTTTAAATTCTTACATTCTTCATTGTTGTCGAACAATGAATTAATACGATTTTTAGTTTCGTTTAGGATTCATAGCAATGTGATAAGGATATTAAAAATTTACTCTAATGATGATAGTGTTTGCCTATTGATCCTATCATCATATTACTATTACGTGTTCACTTGGAGAAGGATTGCGCAATGACTACTTCATATGGTTACTACTACTATCTACTTTTCGAGTAGATTGTGTGCCTGACTTTTTCAATGTGTTAATGAAGATAATTAATATGTGTGTTTGTATGTTTCGCATGGGCTATCTTATGGCAGTAGCAAGAACAGAAGTTTTTTTTTAAGGGTATAATGCTGCGTTGTGAGCACGAAATTGTTAAGGACATGGAATAAATTTTTCTTAAAATATTTGTACATCTGCTGACGTAACTAAGAGAATTTTTTAACTCATTATCTTTTCTTCGTAAAAATGTTTTCAAAACATTTGAATTTTATGTTTTCCTTAGTAATTCAACTAATAACTGACTAATCTCAAATTCTCTCTTCTTCTAGTCTTTCGCCCAATCTCCTTTTATCAATGTTTTCTTAAAAAGACAAAAAAGTAAAAGAACTAAGTTTTCAGGCTTTACAATATGAAAAGGGCGAGGTTGATATTTTTTATTTTGAAACAAAAAAAAGAAGCTTTTTATCGTATAGATGCGTGGACATTGTAGGCGTGTCCTCTCAAATGTTTAGGGCACTTCGAAATTCTTTTTCAAATTTTATAGGCGATATCTTCATTTTTGCGACCGGGAGGATGTATACCACAAATGCTACATGATTGGTCGGACGGACAGATGGACATTCTTAAGTACATTTCCAATTTGAAAGTAGTCAAGAAGTTATATACTTTATGGGGTATGGGGGGGTAGGTAAGGTATTGAGAAAGAAAAATTAAATTTCTATTCACTACAATATTGGGTAGCGGAGGTCAGTTTCTCAATTTCTATACAGGTACTACTACAGCGTGGATAACTCGTTCAAGCTTTTGTAGATTTAAATGCTGTAGTTTACGAGTATTGGGTAAAAAACGAATTTTTTATTCTTTTCGAAAAACAGAGGTATTCTCAGTTTACATAATACCTTAGGAATATCCTTCGACCGCTTTGGCTCATTCTCAGTATCAATCTGCGCGCAAGAAGTTCCATTGTTTCTGTTTCCATGATGGCTTCATTACATAGACGGACGGACAGACGGACATGCTTAACTCGACTTGGAATTTTATGTTGATCAAGAACATATATATGTATGTACTTTGTGGATTTCTGAAGCCTCGTCCTTTAGCATTGCAAACGTCTTGATAAAATGAATATATCTTTCGTCCTTCGGTATAAAAACAAGTTGAACTACAGGGTGCACATAGCCTCTTATTTAGATTGAACTCTTCACAACATTCTAACATTCTTTTAAAATATTTAAAGGCAAATCAAATTAAAATAAAGAGAGAAAATAAATTTTATTTCTGATAGGAAAAAATTTTCCTAAAAACTTATCGTCGCACGTATGTATACGAAATTTTAAGATTTTATTCATTTGCGGCTTTGCTAGGTAGCAATACGTACACGTGCCAATTAAGTAAACGTTTTATGTGGTCAAACATCGTTAAACTAAATTTTTATTGTATATTTCGTACACACACACACACACACACACACACAAAATTGAAAATATGTGTTAATATGCTGACGCTTGAGTAAAGCTGAACAGGCCGAAGTGGTCAAATGCCTAGTTTGCTATTTTTATTCCCTTTTTTTGTTTTTTGTTTAAGTTCCAGCTGGATCGAACCGACCTTAATCCACTTCTGCCCAGTTTACAATATTTTGAGTTAAGGTTACCCACACCACAAAGCACTGACTAGCTTTGGTTGGAAATAGCATGACTTCCATCCTAGATTTCTTTAACAGTTTGTATGGCTTACTATTATTTTAACGATGAAAGATTTTTCCCCTTTATGTTGGTAATTGCGTGTCATAAGGCAAGCAACTCTATTGTGGGCAATCATTTGTTTATATGATGGTGGCGAGCTTTCAGCGAAGGCACATTAAACTAAATTGCGCAAGAGATGCGTTGGTTAGTTGGTTAGTTGGTCTCACATGACCTAATGGAGGAAAAGTATTCGAAATCTTAAAAACCGAGGGGGGAGTGAAACAAAAATACCCTATTTCTTATTTTATGTACGATGTATGTATGAATTTAAGATTTAAAAGATTTTAAAGTTTTATTTCTTTTTCAAAAATTGTTTGTTGATGAAAATAAATCTTTGCTTAAAGCTTTTGGAAATTTGTCAAAGATTAGGGAAAAAGGAACAGAGAATGAGGTATCTTTGATATTTTTGAAGAAAAAAAAGAGGGTTTTATTTAATGGTTTGTTTACGAAACATTTAAGAAAATGCATCTCGAAGACCAACTTCATTTTGTTATACCTTGCACCACTTGTGTTACGGGTATGTCAAGTTTCTGCAGGTGTTTGCAATCTTCGTCTCCACTCGTCATTATTATTTATTAGTATTTGATTATCATTAATACATATTTAAGTACGTCTGTCCGTTTACCCATCTTATGTCTGTCCTTATTTTTTTTATATGCAATCTTTCAAGGTTTTACTGGGAGAGAATTCTGATGCACTGATAAGTTTTGCCACAAGCGAATGGCTGGAAAATCGAAAATCATTTCAACGATTTGGCGGACCACAGTCTCTTGACATATTGTATGCGTGTAGGAAATTGGAATTGTATGGGACCATTTTTTAACCGCTTCCCTTTTCTTACAAGAAGTACACTTCCATACGGCATAAAGGATTCATTCTTAGCATATCATTATTAAAGTTGAACGCCATAAGTTTATTTTCCGGAACCCTTACCCGCATAGGTATTCTGAAGAAAGTAAAAGTCTAGCCATAAACATTGCATTCGAATTGTCACGGAAATAGCTAAGGAATAATGAATAATGAATTTGTGGAAAAGTCATGTAAGAATTTTCATGAATAGTTAGCCTTTACATGGGAATAAGTTGTAAGTGTTTTTAGTGAAGATACTTGAAGAGTTTTATTAAACGAAAAATTAAAGATTATATAACAATTAATTTTTAATATGTTTTGTAACAGGACATGCATTAAGGCAGAATAATAAGCCATAAGTCATAGAAATGCTAGCAAGAAGTACATAATTTGCAGAAAGGATTGCATCGTTTCCTCTTTGCATCGTTATCTACAGTGTTATCTATTATTATATTACTTGCATTCTTATCTTCTAAATTATGAATTCTTCCCTATACTTTACATGTTGCTTAGCTGCTAAGAGATTAAGTATCGGCTGATAATTAAACAAATATATAAATAAATAAACAACGAATTGAGACAGAAAACTGAGATATGCTAGATAAAGGTTTAGATCGGGTTCACCCATTTGATGTGATGCATCCACAATCCATCCATTACTAATCTTGCAAAATATCTGCTGTCACAAATAATATATACATATGTTAAAGGAGACATGATTTAGATCTTTTGAAGGAAAGTCTATTGAGCTCGGGAAAGTTGCTTTCGATTTGAAATAAAACTTTGACATAAGTCAGTGTAAACTAATGCATAGAAGATACAAAACATTTAATTAATTGTGGATGTGTGTTAGGTCATGACACCTTAGTCGCTAAGCAAGAATGCATTTGCGCTCGTTTACAACTTACAAGAAATCGTACTTTGGTTATGCCCGGAATGAGTTCATAATCAACTTTGGACTGCGACCATTAACTGAAAGCAAATGTCTCGCATCTTCCAGTTTTCTTCCACAATTTCTTCTTACAATTGTGCGCATACCAAGGATGGTACGATTAAAGCTTTGAATGGAACATGGAGGAACACGGCTACATAGCCACAAATATATATGTACAGTATGTAGGGTGTGCATGATGTTAATTTTGGTCTTTTCTGTTGCATCTACTTAACTACCTTAGGGGCTGGGTATTTAAAAGTCGCCGCAAGGCAAACAAGCTTTACTTCTTTTTCATGTTTAAGTTATTTCCCTGTTTACTTCCATCAGTTAGGTTTCCTGGCAATGTTAAATCTAAGTGCGCCGTTGTTTAACAATTAATGCACTAAAAATTCTTACGTATACATACATATAAATACTTTATAACGGTTAAGAACAAATTAAACAAATCAAGAGTGCAGAAAATATAACCGACATCTTTTCTGTTTTCTGATTCTTTTTTTGTGTTTTTGTTTTTATTTTTTTTTTTGTTTTTGTACTTTATATATTTGTTTACTTTTTTATGTTTTTAATAGCGTCTCAAGTGATCCTTAAAAAAGAAAAGGAGAAAAAATAACGAGTGCTTGCAATCTTTAGAAAACAAAAAAGGACAAATCGGAAAGCTATCTACACCTTAGGGCGAACCTTGGACACTCATCATCTAATGTTAATAAATCGAAGGCATTAGGTCCGAAAAGATTGTATTCTATTATACTTTTTGTATATTTAATAAATGAATGAATAAAACCCATTATCAAATTTAATCGATATATATATATATCTATATATATATACACATTTATATATGTATACACATTTCATATTCATATCTAATGGATGGACTTTGCAGTAAAGAAATTTAGAAGAATTCAGAAACTGACATCAATCAAAAATATATCTAATTTACAGAATCTCTGATGCATGTTTATACGTGTCGTGAACAAAAAGAAAAAATAAGTACACAATCATCCTTTGGTGGTGGGTATAAAAATTTTTGAAAAGCATTACGTGAAAGCAAACGACTGGCTCTTATCTTTTGTGCATATAGCGCACAACCACACATACATATATGTACAAAGAGACGCTGATTTACATTTATATTTTAATGGTAAAATATTATGACTAAACACGAACGTTAAAGTGTTTGTTAGAATAATTTTCATAGTTTAAGCCCGAAAAATATGCTTTTTATATGAACAAGTTTACTTACATTATGATACCATTCAACTTTAGTAATGCCAGGATTGGCTTTAACTTCGCATTCTAAATACACATCTGAGCCCTTTAATAAATTGTTCGGATTCAAAGGAGCACCTAAACTTAAGGACACAATTGGCGCGTCTATGTCAAAGAAAATAGAAAAAAAAAATAAATAAAGGAAAATTAGATTACTTACCGTTAAAAGGAGGAAAAGCAGAAAAACATATACCTACATATATATATATACTTACGTGTTACATTTAACATTCTAGAGTCTTTTAAGTAGAGACCAGTGTTGCCGTTGCCCATAACTGTTGTAACCGTTGTATGACCTTCGGGTAAATGTTGAGAGGACATAGCCGGATTTAAGGAAATTGAGCAGACCACTTGACGTTCATTATCTTCAGGTACTGGTATAAGTAAAAGCTCTGATACCGTTGTATTACCATCTTTAGATGTCTATAAAACGGAAGATAAAACAAACAAATTCTAAAGGTGTTGTTCCACGTTTTAGATGAGAGCTAAAAAACTAAAACAAACCGATTGTGTTGCTCCTTTCAATATTTGTCCTCCTTTCGACCAAATGATATGTGGCGGTGGTCTTGCTCCAATCGCTGTACAAGTAACGTGTGTTCGTGTCCCCGCTATCACGGCATGATTGAGCCCTTGTAACAGCAAACTTAACGGCGGTACTGAAAAAGCAAAGAACGACATCCCGTAGATTATGCCGATTATTGTCATTTATTTTCTCAATTATTGCAAAGTTTTGAATGTTGCGTCCGTCCGTCCGTCCGTGTGTTCTTTATAGATTCAATATGGCAAAAATCAAGATTAGATTCACAAATTTTCAAACTAATTGATTAAATTTGAAAATTGGATTGATTTTCCTAGAAAGGAGACAATTACGAGGAAACTGAAAAGACTCTATCTAGAAACACAACAATTTCAATTCATTACTGATATTTAGGCATTGTAGTAGATATCAGTTTGAGTTTTACTGCCGGCATTTATCAAAGCCATTCAATTGGCTCTGATCGAGCACTTGGCATATTTGGTTTGTTTGATGAATAAATAGCAACAACTCGCCTAAGAATGCATAAAATTTTCCTACTTGTGCCTTTTTCAATTTATCTTAACATCATTTGCTTCAATAGGGCGAGTAGTATCTAAGGTACAATTAATTAATATCTATGACATTTATTTGTTTTCATTCACTTTCATGTAAGGTAATGTAATGTAAAGTAATGGAAAATTTGCAAAAAAAAAAAAGAAAGAAAAAAAATCTCCTTTTCTACGTAATAACTGCTGTTGCTTAAGCTTAGTGAAACTATAAAAAGGAAAGAGAGCTTGTGATATATTTCTCGTTTGTCTTAATTTACATTTTTCTTATCTCTTTTAATCTATGTTAATCACTGCAAATAGTAGATGTGCATAGAATGTAATAGTTTCTTTGATTTTTGTTGTGTGCTCTCGTTCGTTCGTTTCAAAAATTTTCAGTGCATTGCAAGTAAGTATTTGCATTTTTCACATAATACGGACGACTTTTTCCTTTTAAGGTGGAAATTGCATTTCTAAAGCGTTCTTCTGAACTATTTCAAAAAAAAAAAAAAAAATAAAAAAAAAAAAACCAAAAAGCAAATAAATAAATAACTATTACAACTTGTAGCCAGTAATCAACTTGAAATACGTACGTACGTACGAATGCAAGTAAATATGTGCTTGTATGTTTGTAAATTATCTAAAATCAGAGCTCTCTTACAAACATCTCACGTTACAAACATTCGATTGAATTTGGAATTTTGCAGAGGTAAAAATACTTTCAAAGTACTCTTTGCTACATACGTAAGGTATTTTTACTTCTTTTCTTTTTTTTTTTTTTTTCTGTTTAATTTTGCTTTTATTTTTTTTGGATTTCAAATTCAATAAATTTTAAATAAATTTTAATTTTTTTTTTTTTTTTTAAATTTTTTTAAGGTTTCTTTTTTTTTTTTTTTTTTTTTTTTCTTTCTATCTCTCTCTCTCTCTCTCTCTCTCTCTCTCTCTCTCTCTCTCATTTGCTTTTTCTATTCGCATTTTTCCAATACTTGCGCTTTATACAAAGTTCTATATTTTTCGCACCAATTAATTTAAATACCTTTTTATTTGAATTAGTTACGGCTTACTGAGCAAAGTGTTAAGTTTCAATATAATACAACACCACATTTTAATTGGCTTTCACAATCTAATGACATTATAAGGGGTTCGTTCGTTCGTTCGTTCATCATATTATGTATGTATCAAGAGCCACAATACGGATGAATAAGGAAGAGAGAAACCCGCTTTATATGCATATATGTCTGCTTATAACTGATTACTAATAGGGATTTTTATAATGAGAATATGGATTTTTTTTTTTTTTGCTTTTTTTTTTCATAAAGAAAAACTAGTTATTTTAGCAAAGGCTTGTATTATAAATGGTGAAAAATAAAAAAAATGCAATGAAATATCAAAAGCCTAAAGGCAGGCAATGAATATTTGTTTAAAATATGAATCCGCAATGAAGCTGCAAAATATTCCAGAAAAAAAGGAAACAGTAAGCGAATAAGAGAGAGCGAGAGAGATAAATTTTAAACGTGTGAAAGAAAGAGTAAAGAAATATATGATAAAGATATAAAAAAATTATGAAAAAACAAAACGGAACTATTTAAATCTTTTAATTCGAGTAGGGGGGAAAATATAAACCATTTAATATGTTCTTATTTAATTGTCGCTCATGCCAGAGCGGAATCTGCCAAACACTGTTACTGACATTTCCATATTCCTGCTCAAGTGTTAATTTTGATCCCAATGTCATGCGGTCCATATTTTTGCTAATTGAACTTGGTACGCATAGGGAAGAGCTTTGAGAGCAGAATGCATTAATTCCAAATTAAATATAACGGACAGGATAATATTTAGTCTTGAAAATCCCCACCGTGCAGGCATTAATTCAAGGGATTTAAAGAGTGAAAAGCAACTTGTAAAGAGCCTAAGAAATTACACATTTTACCTCAATAAACTGTAAAGTATATGCCATTTTAGAGTTAATTAAAATAATAGGTCGTTTAACCAATTTGAGGCGATGCATCCTGCTGAAGACCGTGCATTGTCACCGTTCGCTTTCTTCATTTCTGATGATTCCGGCCAAAATTGATTGATTCATACACTTTTCCATTCACTGCTTTTCCATTTCAAACCGGTCTTCTTCTGACGGTTTTTTTTTCCATATTCATTGATAATTTCAACTCGATATCACTGCACGCTCTCTTTTCATCTCGGAATTATAGTTACACAATTACTTTGGCATTGTTTCTATTGCGCCGGCCGGCGAGCAAAAGCTTCAAACAGCTATCAGCTGCCTACATGGCAGGTTATTGTCCAAAGAATAAAAATTAAATATCCGTCCCTCCTTGTTGACATTATTAAAACTTCGTTGCTGTGAAATAACTGGGGCAGATAAAAATTTGACTACAAATGTTTTAAGCTCCATATTTTTTTAATATCTAATAGGATGATTATATTGAGATTGCTTTGGTTATGTCGGGCATTTTCTATAACTTAAGCTTGATTCAAGGAAAAGTAAAATCAGCAAAAGCGGCTTTGATTAAAATTTTGCAGAATAAAATTTTTCAAGTCAGTTTTCGGACCTAAAATGAACTTTCCACACAAGTTTGTTTACATATTTAAAACATAATTTAGCAGATTTCTTTTCCCATTTCTTATCCCATTAATATTTATTGCCTCGATTCGGAGTTCTTGTTATAAGTCTAAGTTAATTTCTTTCAAATCTACGCAAATATTGTTGAAATTGACTGTCCAAACTCAACGAATACGCAACTCACTCACACTTCCAACTGCCTTTTCTCATCTTTAGTCTGCTAAGTTAATATCTCCTATAGAGGCGAATTAAAGGGTGACATGCCTTTGTATGTAACGAAAATATATTAATTTTTTAAAATTTTTATGCATAAAACTTTTCAGGCGGGCAAGACGAACTATTCACCACCACCCATAATCCACATAGTGCTATATTTATCTTGCTAGATCCCATAAGGGAGACGACAGTTGTATGATTCTTTATTGTATATAAAGGCTTACTTTTCATATAACGAGGAGAATCTGGAAGCAGGTTAACAATTTTTCACATCAATCTAGTAAACCGGAACATTATTACTCGATGATTTTTGTCGAGAAATTTTGAAAATTGCAATTTTTTTCAAAATAAGGCGTTAAGTAAATGGAAGGCGTCGTTAAAGTTTGCCGTTTTCAATACGTTCTGCCTTTGGATTAAAACATGTCATCGAAGTGTCTCAAAAGTAGACGGACTGTAGACACGCAGACATCAGACCGACACATAAAGAAAAATGCAAGCCCAATTAGTTCAGAAAATAATTCTGCATGGTTCAGTATAATAAGAAGGGAATTAAACTGGCATGAATTGAACACATTCTGCATCATAACTGTTGTAAGGGACAAGTAATTGAATTATTCATAAGTGCGTTTTTATACTTGAGAGTACAAATCTTAACGGATTTTAAATTTTGGTTTTCCAGATTAAAAACAAGTAAGAACCGTATAATCGGATTAGGCCGACCATAAATACCCTATACCAATTTGCCTAGCACAATTAATCGCTCCTTTCTGTAATGAGACACAAAAAATTAAACATCATTATAATGCAAAGACAGACATTTTATGAAAACCCAAATATTAGAGGATACCTAAAGCTTCATATGACCTGATCCAAGTTTACTAAACTTAATTTACTTTCCAAAAATTTTACTATTTTTCAGTTCCTCCCATAGAAATCTAGAAATTACATTTTGTCTTTATACAACTGCCTTCCCTTCATGGTAATGTTTATACATCCCAGTATCTATAAAATAGATTTACATAGTCAAAATTCCCTACCGTTAATTTTTTCGGTTAATTTGCTACTATGGACTCATTTGCATCATAAAATATTAAAAATTGAACATTTTACCGGCGGGGTTTCCTATGTATAAGCAAGCGTTGGGGTCCAGGAAATAGACCCATGTGGTTCGTATTTGGTCGACTTCATTTTTATGTCAAATAACTATCATGAACAAATTTTCATCATAAAATATTAACAATTAGTCTTTTCGCCATATAAGGATTTACATTTCCTTAGAACACTAATATACGGTCGTATCCAAAAAAATAGACCTACGTGGTCCAAATTCGGTAAGGGTGATTTCCTTGTCAATTTATTACTAAGAGCCAAGAAATATTGAACATTAGATTTTTTAACCACACAAACATTGCACTATAAGAGTGGCGATCCAAAAACTTTTCCTAACTGATCCAAAGTTTTCACACCAATTTTGACAGCGGAACTGAACGATTGTTCTCGAGAAATTTTCAAAATTGCCATGTTTTTTCATATAAGAACTTTTCAAAATAGGGCGTTATACGGGAAGTGCTTAAAAAAATGGACCGATCCAATCCATTTTTAATAGCATTCGTCCTTGGTTTGTGAAGCACGTCAGTGTACTAAACTTTATCGAAATATCTTTAAAATTGCGACGTGCAGGTCGATCACAAGAATACACGGATAGAGGGGCTTAAATCGAAATAATTTTAAATCGGTCGACATAATAAAAAGTGAGTTTACCTTAAGTCCTTCTCGGTTTCGCATACGTCCGCATAAACT